TAAACAATGCTTGAACATTCCAACACTCTAGACTTAGGGGTCAATTTTGCTTTCAATGCTAATTTGCTTGCTGTGCTCAAATTCTACAAAAATAGTAACATCTGCTATAGAAGACAACACAATTACTGTAGTGGAAAGGTTCTCTAGATTCATTAGAATATCAGGTCCCTAGTCACTTGACCTTGAATAAGCCCCTCTCTTATCTTCCATTCCACTGCATTAATTCGGCTCAAATAATTTTACATTTTCACTGTCCTCTCAGAAAGAAAAATAAACAGGTAAAATTAAAATATTAATATATTTCATTTAACTGAATTCAGTACGTATTTCACACTTTCATCACATCTCAATTAAAACTAGTCATGGTGGGCATCAGGGACCCTAGGCTACCAAGATTTCCCAACTGAGATTGCATATCAGAATCACTTTTGGTTAAGGGTCTAGCGGTAACATGAACAAGACAGATCTTTTGCCATTCTACTGCCAAAGTGAGCGAGACACTCACAACAGGGTATTAATCTACCTTCTCAGCTTCCACCCTACATTCAGATGCTGCAACAGGATTCCTCAAATGTGTTAAAGTCCTTTAAAATTCTTTAGCTACTGTGTTATTTTCTGCATCTTTCTTGTCCCGTTACCCACAACCCTATCCTTCCCTGTGAAGTGCTTTCTGCTTCTGCAGGTAATTATTTATTTTGTCCATCGTGCACTTTGCTTGTGTCTCTAACATCCTATCAAATACTATAAAATTACAATTTATTTACTTATGAATTTGTCTCCCCACAAGATCAAGGGTAACAATTTATAATTTAGACATATTGAAGTAGAACTCATTAACAAAGAATGGTTGGAATTACTGTGAACTTGCTGAAAAATCACTTGTCTCCTACCTCATCTATGCCCACACTATTGATGCCATGGTGTCCTTCCCTAAAATCAAGTTTACCTCCCTACAGGAAGTCACTACATGAAGATCAACATTACATGTTGCAGCAGGAATGCACCAGAGAAATGAGAAGTTAATTTGTCATATAAAATACCTCAGATAATTAAAACCTGGTATTCTAGCTTATTCAAAGTTCCTGTTTATTTGAACCCTGAATTCTCCAAAACTTGATCACTCATGGAACTCTTAACTCATCCCTTAGATAAACATGAAGCTCAGTACTTTTGAAGGCTTCCTCATCTAGGGAAAGCAAGAATTAGACTTTAAATTTCTTCATAGTCAACTTTGCTATCTACTGAGGTGATCTGATGAACACATAGCCTTTATGATAACAATATCTTTATATTTAGATATATGCTAACAATCCAAATTAATGCTCACATTCAGTTTCTGTTACAAGTTTGAAGTCAATTTAAATTAAAGAAGAGCCATTTTAATACCCATATATGCCATTTTTTAAGTAATCAGCATGTGATGGCCAATCATGTGACTTGTTTCACAAATACCTCCACAGCAACACACTGACAAAGCCAGCTCCTAATTTATAAACAAGGAAGCTGACAGCAGAGTTTAACCAACAATCCCTACAGGTAATGAATGGTTTCACATTTGTAAATCTTGGTGCCTGCCCTTTACATTAATTACTGTTTATCTAGTTTTGCTAGAGTCAGTTTGTATGAACTCACAACATATGACTCATACACACATACACACACACACACACACACGCATATAACTATTCAGAACTCTTCAATCTTTTAATGCATTTTACTATTGTCTACATTTTGTGTATTATTTACTTTTTTGTTGCCATGATAAAACACCATAACCAACACAACTTATTTTGGTTTATAGTTCTAGAGGGACAAGAGTCCACCACGGCATAAAAACATGGCAACAAGTGACAGGCATGGTGGCAACTCCATGGACAGCGAGGGCAGACTGAAGTAAAAAGCTGTGAGGTCTCAAAGACCACCCCCAGTGATAAATTTCCTCCAGTAAGATCACACCTCCTAAATTTCCACGAAGAGCACCAACTGGGTACCAGGAATTCAAATTTGTGAATCTATGGGGGACATTTCTCATTCAAAATACCACAACATATAATAGATATAGATACACAGCTAAAATACTTTATATACTATACAATGGAATGATATTTAGTATTTCTTCCCAACTATACAGTCAAGTGATACTTCACAGCTTCAAACTGCCCATTGCAGGAGTATTTTCACTAAAAGTAATTTGCACACCTTACAAGGCTTATCTTTCTTTGAGTACTGTGTTTTTTGTTTTGTTTCTTTAAAAATCCATTATTAGCCAGGCGTGGTGGCACACCCCTTTAATCCAAGCACTTGGGGAGCAGAGGCAGGCGGATCTCTGTGAGTTCAAGGCCAGCCTGGTCTACATAGTGAGTTCCAGGACAGCTGCTGGGCTACAGGGAGACCCTGCCTCAAAAAGACCAAAAAAAGAAAAGAAAAAAAACCCAACAACAACAAAACAACAACAACAAAAAACATTATTTTGAATTAATATGTTATTTTAACCCAGAAATTCTGAATCAGTAGGTAAAGGGTAAGATACTGGCAAGTGAATTCTGTAAAAGATCATCCCCCTCAAGGAAGTCTGATAAATACCCAAAGCTGAAAACTACATTTAAGATTTCTAAAACCATTCTACTGTATCATACAAGATGGTAGAAAGTTACATAATTAATATTCATAGATGCCAAAAAGTCTCTATATACTACAATGTAAAATTGTTAGTGCTTTTTATGTGTCAAAAAAGTTACAGAAAGCTTCTATGTAAATTATAAAAGAAATTGCTGTTTATACAATCTTAACTCTCACAAAAGGCTATAACACGAGACAAGTAGATATCCACATGCAAAAGAGTAAGACTGGACTCTCACCATTTAGTTGCTGCCTAGGGCTCATGGTCAATGGGGCAATAGGAAAGTAACTGTTAAAAGGTTATGGTTTGAATGAGCGTCCCCCATAGGCTCCAAGTATTGGGATACTTGGTCCCCAGTTTGTGGTGCTATTTGGGGAGAGTCAAGAAACCTTTAGGAGGTGTGGCCATGCTGGAAGAAGCATCATCAGGAGAGGACTTTGAGAGTTCTGAAGCCTTGCCCGGATTTCCAGTCTTGCTTTGCTTCCTGTAGCTACTTGAGATATTTGAGCACTTGGCTTTCTTCTCCAGCCACCTCTTCCACAGCCATTATGCAGTCTTACTCCTTTGAACTGCAAACTAAATAAACTCTTCCTTCTATAAACTGCCTTGTTCATGGAGTTTTATCACAGCAACAGAAAGTAACTAATAAAAAGGTATAGGGTTTGTTTGTTTGTTTGTTGAGAGATGAAAACTGTAGTGATGATAGTTACACAAATGAGAATATCCTTTAAAAAAAACTGTACATGGGGGCTAGAGAGATGGCTCAGCAGTTAAGAGCACTGACTGCTCTTCCAGAGAACCCAGGTTCGATTCCCAGCACTCACATGGCAGCTACAAACTGTCCTTAACTCCAGTCCCAGGGGAATCAAAGCTGACCTCTGTGGCATTGTACAACACATACATGCAAGGCAATACACTCATACACATAAAATAAAAATAATAAAAAAGAAGAAAAAATTGTACATGAAGAAGAGAGAGGAATGTGTTGGGGGTTCCTGGGAAGTATAGGAATGAAGATGCATTGTTTACTTGTATGAAATTATCAAACATAAATAAAAGATATTCTAGATTTTTTTTAAAAAAGCATGTTTTTTTAATAAATTATTTATTGAATTTTTATGTATTTCATACAGAACATCTTAAATCAATCTTAATCATCTTTATTTCCCCTTCCCCACTGGCACCCTCCACAGCCCCCATCCCCACTGGAATTCATACACTCTGTCATTTGTGTTAAGTTAGTGTCCCCAGATGTCCCTCAGGGCAAGTTCATCCACTGGGCTCTCATCAGCCTATCTAGAGTCCCTCCCTTTAAGAAGATCAGCTCTTCCTCACCCAGCAGCAGTAATCGGCTGCGAATAATTCTTCGACCACGATTGGGGCTTATTGCCCATTTCCACAGTTCTATGCTGGGGTTTTGTCTGCTTAAGTTTGCATGGGTCTTGTGCATGCTGACACTATTAAAAGCATGCATAATTTTAATGAATGAATTCTTTGGTATATGAATTTTTTTATTTTTATTTTATGTGTATGAATGTTTTGCTGCATGTAAGTGTACCACATGTCCAATGCTGCCAGAGCTTAGAAAAAGGCGTCAGATCTCCTGGACCTGGAGTTACAGATGGTTGTTAGCTGTCACGTGGGTGCTGGAAACTGAACCCAGGTCCTCTGCAAAAGTATCAAGTACTCTTAACTACTGACCCATCTCTCCAGTCCCCAAATATGATAATTTCTTGAAAACAGCTTTGGGCAAGATTCCCATTACTAACAAATATATTTTTTTAATTCAACAAACTACATCAGAAGAAGGAGTGCTGGCTCAGTGATTAAGAGCATATACTATACATGTATACCCCCCCCACACACACATAATTAAAAATTAAAATTAAAATTTCTACATTATATATTTCTCTTTGACTTCATTGCCTGCAAATGACATTGAAATATTGCAGATCCTTTACCTAAGTTTTATAGTTCAGTTTTTGTTAACCTATGCTTTGTTTTCATGGACTTAATTCACAAAGTTTCTACTATATGCCACTTCCATTTTCACTGAAAGCAAAATGTGATGGCTAGCTGAATTCTGAAAACTCTGTAATATATTTAGATGCTCATGAGCTCATGATTCGCAGAAAGGTACAAAAGTCTAACACGGCTCAGCTCCTGCTCTGTCAGTCAATGCCTGTCATTTTAACTGCCCAGAAGAGTGGATAGTTTCCCCAGGGGATTCCCGCCTCTTACATTTTTTTATCCTTATAGGACATTTAATGCCTAATTACTCATTTACCATTGATTTAGCATACAACTTAATATTAAAAATGGGATTTAAAGACTAAGTCACTACTGAAATATAAATGGGTTTGGTAAATCTCACTCTCACCCTAACAGGTGAGGACGACTCATCCGCATTTCGTTTCTGGGGTTCAGTATCCACATCCTGGCGTTTGTTCTTCATTCTTTCTCTGAGATCACCCGTGGGTCTTTCTGGTGACCTTGGACACAAAACAAAACAACAAATCTATATTTCTGTAATGTCAAGTTTCCCCCTAACACCAATCAAAATGTGTACATGGTAAAAGGTAGTTTCCTCATAATTGAAATAGTCCCTCTGGCCAAGCATGGTGCATGCCTTTAATTCCAGCACTCAGGGAGGTAGAGGTAGGCAGATCTCTGTGAGTTCGAGGCCAGCCTGCTTTACATAGTAAGTTCCAGCCCAGCCAGAGCTACAGGGAGACCCTGTCTCAAAAAAAAAAAAAAAAAAAAAACC